GCGAGGAGCCCCCCCGAGGCGCCCTGGTCCTGGGCTCGGAGCTGGTGGAGACCTACACGGTAGGGCCGGGGCAGCGGGTGCGTGTGTGTGAGGAGAGGCAGATCCCGAGGAAACGCGGCTGGAAAGCTGCGCCCGGTGTCGTGTAACACGTTGTGCTGAGGGGAAAGCGCTGCAGCAATCCCTCACAGAAAGTTACCTTTTTATATTAAAGTAAAACTAGGTGATTTCCGGGCGGCGTGGCCCTTAAGATTTTAACAAAAAAAAAAAAAAAAAAAGGAAAAAAAAATTGAGCCGGTTTCCTTGTGCCGGGGCTTGTTTTCTTCCCCGCTTTTTGGGGAAACTGCTCCTCACCAAAACAAGGCTCTGCGCAGCTGCACGCAGACAACATCTCCCGAACGCCGCCCTGTTATATAACTAAACAGTTCTGTCTGCCCCTGCCCTGCCTTGCTGCAGGGGGAATAGGCAGTTTGTGCAGGGTGTGAGTTATTACTGCGGGTGGCTTCTTGCAGCGGGAAACTAGAGGGGAAAAAAAGGAAGGGCTAAAGGGACTTAGGTACTGCTTGTGAAAACTTACTGTTTATTTAAGTAACACCTTAGATTACTGGCAGTGAAAATGGTACTCAAAAAAAAAAAAAAACTCTTGAGCAACAGGAAAGAGGGTTCTGGTATTTTTTAATACACCTGAGTGTAAAGGCATGCCTTGGCAAGGGAACTTACACAGCTGTGGTGCCTGATGGCCACAGCTCCTTTTTGTACTGATGACCCTTGAAGCATCATTTTGGTAAGTGGTTGTGTTCACAGGCCTAGATAAAAATGCGAGTGCCCCAGCTGCCTTGCCAACGGGAACACACAGTGAAATGCTGGTGAGAAGCTTAAAACACATTTTTGAAGATAAGTTTGTTTTTTTTTCTAACAGTTCAGTTGCAGGGTGCGTGTTCACAAAGACTCTCCCCTCCCCAAGCAAGTTTATGTTCAAGTTGCAAATTGGTTAGGGCATGGTGAGGCTTTTGTGTCATCATGTCTGGAGACTTCTGTTTTAGGCATGAACCGCAATTCAGTAGTGCTAGTGAATTTTCATGAGTATTTTGCAATAACTGTGATTGAGAAATTAAAGTGGGTTTATCTGAAAAACTTTCAAAATGCTCCCTGTCCCCATACTCTGCTAGGCACAAGTTATGGACACGAACATGAAACGCTTAGCAGCTTCAGCTTGCAGATCAGCATCGAGGTATGAGCAAGGTCTGTTAATGCCGTTAACGTGCTGGATTGAGCTGTGGTTCAGGCCTGTACCTTACTGTGCTGCAGGTAATCTTCTGCAGATCCCCTCGTAGGTGGGGGTAGCATTTTAAGCCACTACCAGCTTAAGCTGTCAGATGCTGAAGTCCTGAATTCTTATTTAATGTGAATGTTTCTGGAAGTATCAGCTGCTTTAGTGCAATCTTTTTAGGGGACTTAAATGCTTGTAAAGCAAAAATTCCCAGGAATTGGATGTATTTTGATTGTATTGCCATAAGTTTACTTGTGGCAATGCTATCGTTTACATGCCATTAAGTTTTCTTTTTGGCAGACCTTTAAAAACTGTTAGCAAGACTCCAAAACTGCAGGCAGCTTCTGCAGAAAGTCCCGAGTAGTTAGAAATATAGGCATATATCTTGGATGAAAACAGAATTGATTTACGAAGTGTTTCTTGAGATGAAATGACTTACAAAAGGCAACATGGGCCCTGTGTGTTTAAAATAACAGATCTTGTGGCACTAGGGACTTGACCTCAATGTACCTCAATGGAAGGGAAATATAGGTGGTAGAAAAATCAGTCAAATCCTGTAAAGATGAAAAGGGAAACAGAGCAGTATCAAGAAGCATCTTCATCTTTTTACATGTAGGTGTCAAGACATCAGTAGTGCTATTTACATCCTTGTTTTTGAAAGAATCTGTTTTGGCCTTGTTGCTTCCCCCTTCTACCCTGCACTTTAGAGCTCCAGCTTGCAAAATAATCTCAACAGAAGGAGGTGTGTTTTAATGACACTGTTAGACATTTTGAGTTTAAATCCTGTAAGATATTTAGGGCAGGGCCCCAGTTCTATGCAATTATATTTTAAAATACTAGTGATTCCTGTTGGAATATCTGTGGCGGAAGATTATGGATTCATTCAATGGAAAAGATATTCCACTAGTTAAAATTTTTCTGCTGATTTCAGAAAGCCTGAGCCCTTTCACAGAGTGTTTCTCCTACACATGTTGGAGGAGTTCAAGACCAGGTATTTGTCCTGCTGGATGCTGACCAAAGGCTGGCTGATCCTAAAAAAAGGCCTTTAGGCAGCCAGTGCTTTATTTGCTTCCTGCTATGCATTTGTTTGTTTGGCCTAAATTGCCTTCCTGCCTTTCCTGTCTTCTGCAGCTGTTTTTAATATATAAGCTTGCTTTGGTGTTAAGGAAAGCACTGTGGCTTGCTTGGGATGGATATAAAGTGTGCCTAACAAGGCAGGGGGGAAGAAGAGGTTTGGTTGCATCACTGTGCTGGCGTTTGGGACGGAGTGGCTGCGGTCCCACCTGTGTCCCTGGGCAGTTAGTTATCTGTGAGGTACCTGCCTTGTTCTTGAGTGCACCAGGGTGCTGTCCCAGTGCGGTGCTGGGTGAGGTGCTCAGGGGAATAGCAGATATTGTGTAAAATGTGAGATGAGCAGGTTTTTGTAACCATTCGGGAAGTAGACAGGGATCAGGATGGAATCAGCAGTGCTCATTTAACAGCAGGTTTAAAAGTCATACTTAATTTCAATTACTAGTAAATATTTTACTTTAAATACTGAGAGAGATGAAAGGCATTCCGTGTGACTAGGGAGTGACTACTTAATTGCAATGAGCTTGGAGTGACTGGTCTGTATAAACAACCTCATCAGTAAGAAAGAAAACCATTGAAAATATAGCCATATGGGTCTGTTAAACACTTCACAAAGTAGAATTTAAATTAGCCAAAGCAAATAATTTATAGAAAGGTACAGAATATTCATTACACAACCTGGTAAAAGGCACTCTGGAAAATGAGGAGATAGGTTCCCAGGATGAAAAACAGAATGTAAACCCTTTCATGTTTTAGCTCCAAAGAAGCATAATTTATGACAAAAATGCAAATGGAGAGTTCATGTGGAGAGCTCACAAGGCTTTGAAACACAAAGCATATTGCATTTGTATCTGTTCTGCATGGTAGAGGCAGTTTGTGGGTTAATCTGAAATCAGTTGCTGTCGTTCTGCTGCTGATGCTGCTTGACAGTGAAGATGTACTGCTAGTTCTAGATGTGTTCTCCATGGGTAACATCGTGACTTTTTAAAATCTTACTTTGAGGAGTTGTATCAGCACACATAAAATGTTCACAGACTTTTTCTTTTTGCCCAGGCTGCTTATCCCTTGGTTTGGTATTCTCTTTCTAGAACTCAACA